AATTGTACATAGAGTTTAGTTGTTGATTAGAATGAATTAGTATCTGTTTCATATTTAACCCCTTTTCATCTAGGTTATAGTGATAACATGAACATACATGTGATGGGCAATTCAAATCTGTATAAACTTAAAATACAAAAATGAACAAGATGAACTTTAACTCATCTCATCCAGTATTATCGTCTTGTTTCTTCTTACGTACCAGTAACATAAGAAAAATATACAAGAAATATAAACATGGTACACTTATCATTTTGTTCTCATATTTTCAGAGATGGGACGAAGAAAAAAAGTGAGAGGATGTCAGGAGATATTTTGAATTTGGAAAAGATGCATATACCAATTTCTTGAAAAGTATGGAGTGTCGAACCTTTTTTCTCCTGTTTGAGATCTTTTTTTTTTAAATAAAAATTACGATTTCGTCTGAAAAGAAAAAAAAACTTTTCTAGAAGTGAGGAGTGTGCACATTCCACAGTTTTATTGTTAAAATGCACTAAAGAAGAAAGCTCATGCTTTCGAAGTATTTGTAAATTAATTGTTTTAAATAAAAGTAAATTATTGTGAAAGAGTAATCGAAACTGAAATACTGAACTAATTATCAAGTATTATTGTTGATATCAGTTGTTATGTAAGACAATAATAAGAAATGAAAATGGACATTATGAATGATACTATAATGATGTGAATAGAGCAAATTTTCAGAACTATAGTTCAATCAATTAAAAGTAGAAGTAAAAATTTGATTTGTTTTCCTATATTTTCTGAGAAAAAGAACAAGTTTTGACTCAAACTTTTAGTTCATAGTAAAGTAGTTACTATGGTACTATAAGTTGTACGAATCAAACAATTATTGGAATATTTTTTTGTATTTTATAAACTTCTTATTCATTATTATTATGCAATGACTCTTCAATGTTGTGTCTGACTAGATGTTCCTTTTCCACCACTTAGTTCGATAAAATACAAAATAAACTTTATAGATAACTAGTAATCGTATGAGATAATGAAGTAACTATTAGGTTTTCTTCTTGCTATTGCTTCTATAGTGAAAAAGTATATAGGAAAAAAACTACCCTTAAAATTAGACGTCATCGCGTTACGTTGATAAATATGACTTTTCATCCAAATAAAGTACTTATTTCGAAGTTTTCTTTTTTCCATCTGGTGGATGGGAAAGTCAGCTCTCGATTGGCCATAGAACGATTTTCTTCTTCGTGCATAAATTCGCAGAAAAATGGAATGCAATCAAACTACCCTCAATTCTTTGTCCTTTTTTCGTCATCGCGTTTGGCCACAAATTTATTTTATAACTTTGAGATAACCTGAGCTAAAAAGGCTGATATTTTCAGATATGTTGAGGGTTAAATATATGAATCGTTTGATAAAAGAATAAACTTCTAAAAATACAGCATCGATAAGAAATAGCAAAAAGAGTATGGACAAAACGTCATCGCGTTACGCTTGTGAAAGCCGGTATTCTTTGCTATGAAAATATTTTTTTCGCACTGAACTAGTGTAGCTCGAATTCGTGTGCAGCTGATTATCTAAAGGTGAACGCAAGGGAGAGAGAAATCTAGATTTTCTTCAACTTTGTATAAAATGAGAGAAAATGCCGGGATTGAAAGGGTTAAGATATGTTTTCGCTTTATCTTTATTTTAAAATGCTAAGAATGATGACTTCGTTCAATTTTCGAATCAAATATAGTTCATTGATGTCTACTTAATTCATTCACAAATATTTATGTCGATCGTCAATTATCTCATGTACTCTCTTTTGTTTATTTTTTTGAATTAGTTTAATCTAATTTTTTTTGTGTAGACTCATAAAATAAATTTAAAGTCTTAAACAAAATTTTTTAATTCAACAAGAAACAACATCAATTATTGTCTATGATGTACATAATACTAAACAAAAAATTTCACCATTCTCTTTGAATTCTAATATGATAAGCAACAATTAGCATTCATTGATAATAAGAATGAAACATCTACTCCATCTTCATCATTTGTTGTAGTTTATTGATATGTTGCTGATAAGACGGATGAAAACGTGATGATAATTTTTTTTTTCATCAGTTTATTTTCTTAAATGAAAACTTTCCAAATTTGAGAGAAAGAGAATGGAGAGAAAAAGAATAGACAGAAAAGATATGTTCATATGCATTACTTTCTTTGTGGAATAGATATAGATACATATTAACTAAAGAATGAATGAATTAAATAAGTATGATAAAAATAGAAAAGAGGAACGATAAAGATTACTAGCGACATCAACAATTATTTATTTTAAAATGTTATTATCGAAAAGACTATTCGATCACATCGTCTTTTTTATGTGTTCCCAGTTTATCTAATTATTTTCGTTCGATATAGTTAGTTAGCTAATTATTTATGTAAATATTTAGTTATTAAATAAATATTCTTCCAATTTATATGTTGTTTTTAGATATATTATTCCACTTTTATCCTTAACTGAAACTCAGTTTATATATGGATAAATGAAATATTTATATACAAACTTATTGAAGTAACTTGTATTTATAAAAGAAAATATAATAATTAGATAAAGCATGTTTGTTTAGATTATGCTGTTCACGATGGTAGTATTCAAACTTTGATAACACTTAATGAAGAACAAAAAGATGATTAGAAAACATTAGTTGATTTCGAACAAATTTCTTAGTATTTTAATATTTTTCGACATACTTTTAAAATAATAATACACTAATTGTATTAAAACTGAAATCAAGCCTAGTAAATAATTATATTTGTACTTTTTTTTCTGTATGTCAATACTGTTTTGTATTTATTAGATTATCTTTCATATATACTCGATAAAGATCATGAACTATTTTATGAATTAGAACTAATCACGAAAACAAAATCATCAATTTTAATTAGTTTTGACTTTGAAATGGCTTTTTAAAAATGGAATAAAGTTTCATTTAATTTAAATGATTTTATATTCTAAGCATTCTTATATCACTACTTCTTCATTCAAAAATAAAATAAAATAATATTCTTCGATCACTTACTTCATTTTGCTTGAATGAAAGGTAAAATATATTTTACTTATTTTTGTTGTTAAATTTTTTCAATCTTTCATCATTCGACAGTTTCTTTGACTTTATTCAGAATCATTATTTGTTAATCTTTCAACATCTCGAAAACGTTTAGAAGATATTTAATTTCGTTTTATGGCTACTCAACATGTTCTTGTTCTATGCAAATTCAGAAAACAGCAACAACAAAGACAACATATTGAATAACAACATGCAAGCCTGTGTTTTTCCTTGTCTGTATATAATACATCACTTCTGATATGATCATTATCTCTAATCATTTCAAATATTAAAAATGATTTTTCTTCTTTTTTATACTTGAAGTTATCTGAAACAAATAAATCTTTAAACCAATTGTTTTCTTTTAATACGATATGTAAATAAAAGAATAGTTTTAGTTTTTGTCTTCATTCGACGAAGTTACCATTCTTCATTCAAAGATTCAAGTTTGAGAATCAATAAATCAAAACGAGAAAATTCAAGGATTTTTATTCCTAAATAACGTCAGTTTTTATGTCGTCCTGAATGAACTTGATATATATGTAATTAAAACAATTTATTAATCAATTTTAGATGGTTAAAACATCTACATCGAAACTACTCGACACTTATAAGATTCCAAAAAGTACGCTACATCATGTCCAAAACAACGGGTAATGCAAAAGTTCTGCATTAATTTTCCCATGCCGCCACTTTTTTAACAACTGCGTCGCAGTTGCGCGTAACTGCGAAATTTTGATCGTAACTGCGCGTAACTGCGGCGCATTGATCGCAGCAAAAAAATCATATGTTCGACTACGATCGACTGCGACGCAGTTACGCGTAACTGCGAATAAAATATCGCAGTTGCGCGCAGCTACGGTAAAGAATTCGCAGTTACGCGTAGCTGCGCCGCAATTTTCCGCAATTACGGATCACACTGCGATCGCAGTTACGCGTAACTGCGTCGCAATTCGATCGCATTCGAGCACATGGGTTGTTGTTGATATAACTCTGCAACGCAATGTCATAAAGACTTGTTCTTTTTTTTTGTTAGAAGGAGAAGTGTCTAGTACAAAAATAAATAAAAGAATTTGATTGGAAATGTTTTTGAAAGATGGAGAAAAATCATAGAAGAGAAGATACCGGAAAACTTTTCTGCAACTTTTTTAAACTTTCAAAAATTTCATATAATCTAGACAGGTTATCTTTTTATTCGTTTCATCCGAATTTTAGTAAGTAAGAATAAAGCACAATTGTTATACAAAATGAGCGATTTATCTATATATTTTATAACGATCGAAATAAACGCTTTTATGATATCATCTGGGTCACCATGTATTCATCATTATCGATAGCAGTGAAAAAATGGACTCTATTCTGATGGAGAGGATTTCACAAACTATATATTTTATATGAAAAACAAAGCTTATTGAGTTTTCTATCAAATAATACTATTTACAAAAGAACACAGCTTCTCTGCAAGATATTCAGAGAAAAATTTGTTTTCGCGTTGAAAAACCAAATTTTTAAATTAACCTTTCCTCCATAAAATTGTTTTCTGTTTATCCTGTTTTACACCATACCAATTATTTTAATATCAAATGAAAGTCTTCGTTGTAATGAACAACTATATATATAGTGTTCGAAAGAGTCAAAAGTGGTAATGAAACGGTCAAATAAATATTTTTGGATAAAAAAATATGACCAGAGTTGAAGAAGAGTTTTCTGATATCTTCTCTCCTAAGATTTTTTCCATCTTTCAAAAACATTTCCAATCAAATGTTTTCATGTAGTTTTGTACGAGACACTGCTCTTTCTAACAAAAAAAAAACAACAAGTCTTTATGACATTGCATTGCAGAATTACATCAAAAATAAAATTAATGCAAAATGTTTGCATCACCCGTTTCAATAAAACAAATTTTATTAGTTAGTTACAATTTTCTTTTTACAGGTAATGGTAAATATACTTGCTCCTACTGTATTTTCAAAACAACTACAAGAGCTGATTGGATGAATCATATGCAAAAAAAACCATCCTAAAGAATTTCAAAAGGTGGTGAACGATCAAAAAAACTCTCGAGCAACTTTAAATACAGGAGTTAATAATGTATCGGATGAGGTAACACAATTTAAACTAATGTTTTGTTTAAAAAAATTGCTATAAAGCTTTCATATCTAATTTTGTCTAAAATTTACATTATTTTTAAATTATAGGATGATGATGATGATGAAAATGATACTCGTAGTCAAATGATGTTAAATGATACAACAACTGGTTCATTTGGAACTGCTCACTTTCTTCAATCATCAATTAAATCACATGGTACAGCAAGTGGTACATTTGGAAATGCTCATCTTCTTCAATCATCAATTAAACTACATAGTACACATAGTAATACATTTGAACCTGCTCATTTTCCTCATTCATTAATTCAATCAAGTAGCACAACAAGTAGTGCATTTGAACCTGCTCATTTTTCTCAATCATCAATTCAACGACGTAGTACAACAACTAGTACATTTCAAGGTCCTCAGGTAACCCTTCACTCGCTTCAACTTCAAAATACAATTATTGAGAGATTCGCATCAGCTTAATCAAGCAAAAAGGTTTTACTTGAAGTATTAGGACACAAATCAAAAGCTCCTGCTTGACCTCTAAGTAAGAAGAATCAAAAGGTTTTACTAGAAATATTATGGAAAAAGTGAAAAATTGTTCATCCAATATCAGAAGAAAAATCAGAATTCTATCGTAAAAATCATGAGGATTTTCTTCTGGTTTTTAGCAGAATATTTCATGAGCAACCTGCTCATCAAGTCCTGGGTTTTTTACGAGGTTGTTTCTATCTTAAAAAAATTGATTTGACAATTCTGGCTTGTGTAGATCTTGTTCTTTTAACTACGAAATAGAGGTGTGCCAGATGAGCTTTTTTCACACTCTATACTCTGCCGGAAAGAAATTTTCTAACCCTTACTCTATCTGATACTAGAGAATCTGTACCCTACTGTACAGAACTTATATTCTTAGTCTCTGAACTTTATTTCTCAGTCTTCCTTAGTCCTGTCCTAGCTGAAAGGTCCTAAAAGCGATAAACAGCAAAATAGTATCGCATTTTTTTAAATTTATTTTATTGGTTATTACAAAGCATTAAAATACAATTTTCGTAAAATTTCTGACGAGTAATATGTTACCTATGATATAAATAATGATACCGTTAACAGCTTCATAATATGTCTATCAGTTCTTATCGTATAGAATGGAAATTCGTCTCCAAAGATTCTCCGTTCATTTCTCTACAAAACCATATGAATAAAGTATAGACAATATTTAACTGTAAAAGTACAGACGGTTAGTAATAATATGCCTCACAACCGACCACTTTCACAAATTATTTTTTTTTCAATTTTTCGACACTCTGTAACTGGTTAGAAAATGGTTGACTATATCATTTTTAGCGCTTCCTAGGCTCTATCATTTGAGGTATTGTTGAACAGTTTTCACGCAAATCTTTCGTGGGTGGGTGTGGGTGTGCGTGTGGGGGTCGGTATTAATCAAATATACAGCCACACTACGTCCATACCCACACCCATACACCCACACCCTTAATTTAAATGCATAAAATAAAGGATATTTTGATACATCAATTTTATTATTATTGAATAGTGAATAAATATATAAAAAATGAAGCAAAAAAGAGTGAAGAATTCATATTAAAAAAAAAGATGAACGCAAAATATATGTAAAAGAAATTCACATTCATAATGACAATTGCCTTGAACAGTAGTCTCTGTTGATAAATTATGCAATTGATCGATGATAATCTATTGATTATTTGAAAGAAAAAAATATATATGAAATTAAATAGCTCTGTTATCCGTTATAATAAAGTCGCATGAGCAGAAATTTAATCGATGATGGTGCATATCAACAACTTCAAGAAGAAGAGTAAGACAAAAACTGAAAAAGAAAAAAGAAAAAGCATATATACAAGTCGATCGATGACTTCGACCGTTCAGCACAAAACAGATATCATCACCAACACCAAGACACATTATATCAAAGAAGATCAACGCTAAATTTATTTTATTGCTGTCACACGTGTGTATGTGTCTTATTCTATTAGGTTAGATTATCCTTGTTTTTTTAAATTATAGTCTCATATTTTAATGTTAATTTTTTTTTAGGTCAATATGGTTTTGTTTTGATCTCTCTTTCTTTTCTCTTTTCTGTTTTTTTCGTTCTCCAGCTATCTACACGTGTGTATAGAGAGTGAATCGATATCGACATGTTTTGTTTTTTTTATCGATAATAATTGCTTGATTTTGTACAATGTCGAAATTTTGTTGAATAAAAAAAAAAGTTAATAATAAACTATAAAACATCGATATGCTCTTGAAAGTTTGATTAAAATCGTAGATTTTACATAAATCCCATAAAGCTCATATATTATAGTAATGAAGGACATGAATCATAAATGTTTTTGGAGAACCAAAATGAGAGTCAAATTGATTTGTTTTTTCTTTGAATGTTTCTATTTCATAAAAAAAAACAAGTTGATTCATTCGATTTGTCGTCATATGGTGACTAAATAAATGGAAGTATAAAGCCCATCAATCTGATCATTAGAGTCGGTCTGAACCACTTTTCTTCAGCTAAATCTATTCTTTGCAAATAACATGCAGCTCGCTTTCGACGTCTTCCACTCAATCTCTAAATAGGAATTTTAGTCACGGACAACATCATTGATATGAACTTTAAAAAAATGATCAATTTTGTGTTTCATATACTAACAGATACACACTCTGATTGTGTCGAAACTTTCTTTGACCATTGTAGAAGACGACAAGCTATGGATTCTACTGATGTTTTGTTTTTATTTCGAACCGTGAAATCTTTACTATTTATTTGACTATTCATCGTCTTTCTCGTATTTTTACAGACCATCGTCCTAAATTGTGATGGAGTTGGATAAAAGTTGATGCGCATAGCATCAACAGATCTTTCATTTTTAACCAATATTTTTACATATAGTTAATTTAGTGTCGTTTCTTTTTATCTTTCCTACAGACCAATATTCAGATCGATATCACACAGTCCAAAGTCACCGTTTTAAACTTGACAATGACCGATTAACGTCGAAAATTCCTTTTCTGTAATATAAACAACAACACGAAATCTTCATTATTTTTATTAGCCTTTAACTTTAAATCTCAAATCATTCATTTATACTGATTCATATCATAAACCAGTGCGACACCTATTTTGCATGCTTCTCACAGGTATCTATTCAGTAGCGAAGAAAAAAAATTAATCCATACTTTTTCTTATTCTCATTCTCAAACACGTTTATGCATAACAGCGAAGAAGAGAACAGAGAAAATCAACTTGTTCTCATAGCACAATAAATAAAAATATCATTCTTGCAATATCCAATCAACCGTTCTACACTTTTAACAAGCAATAAACCTATGTGTAAATGACTAACACCAAGGCCACCTCCAAACACAAATAAATATTCAAGTAACAACACAACTACGTTTGCTATTTCTTTTTTTGGCCGTCGCCTTTAGCGAGAAAAAGCTAACTAAACCTCCTACTTAACGGATGAATGATCAGCCTGCATATAATCAGAGACGAGAGTGAGAAAAAAAATCTCTCACCAAACGTATATATAGACACACAGAATAAATAAAACGACCACCTCCAAATATTACGAAAAATACACACTTACCTATCAACAACCAAACAACAAGCGTCGATTCACCAAATCGAAATCATGCATTTCAAGATACTTGTTTTGCTTTCACTGCTGGCCATTACGACCGCCTGGCCGGCTCTCAGAAACTTCGACGACCATGCAGATGACCGAATCGCCGAACGATTTCTTCTCCGTAAATTCGTGGACATGCTCATAGAAGAACGTACATATCATTAATTTATAGCACTCTTCGTTTACCAATCCATTCCTACTAAACTCTGCACCCAAAAACACGTATCAAGTGAATAGAATTCTGGTGGGCACTATTCATTTGTCATATAATATTTACTTCTCGCTCTCCCATCATTCGAACACTTGAATCCTAATCAAACGGCTGAATAGAATATTCGTGAATAGTATTCATTTCTCACATGATATTTATTCATAGGTTTACCGTCATTCAATTACTTCAAAGCGAATCAAACAGATGACCACAATCTTTGTGCTTACTATTCACTTGTCATACGTTCCTTAGGTACAGGTTCAACATCATTCCACCACTTCAAAGCAAATCAAAGAGATGAATAGAATCTTACTCAATACTATTTATTCGTCAGATACCGTTTACCCATTGATTCAACATCATTCTACCACTCCGAAGCGAATCAAAGAGATGAATAGAGTCTTCCTGACTACTATTCATATGTCGTATGATGTTCACTTATAGATTCAATATCATTCTACCACTTCCAAGCGAATCAAAAAGATGAATAAAATTTTTGTGCATAATATTCATTTCTCAGATAATGCTCTCATCGGTTCAACATCATTCTACCACCTCGAAACGAATTAAAGAGATGAATAGAATGTTACTGAATAGCACTCATTTGTCATAAGATATTTACTCATACATTTCGCACCATTCTCCCACTTCGAAGCGAATCAAAGACATGAACAGAACTTTTGTGCAAAACATTCATTTCTCATATGATTTTTACTCGTACATTCAACACCATTCCACCACTTCGAAGCGAATCAAAGCGATGAGTTGAATGTTCCTGAATAGTATTCATTTGTCAGATAATGCTTACACACAGATCCAGCATCATTCTACCACTTCGAAGCGAATTAAAGAGATGAATAGAATGTT